TATACCTGACAATTTGCTATCTTTCTTTTCTACTTTCCTAGTTCTGAGACTCTCTGTTCTCCCTTCATAAACAAGCAGGACCCATGTTGGCATCAGCGGCCCATGTAATAACTGGAAAGGGAAACCACTCAAAGATCTAGAGATTTCTTTACCTAAGAGTGAACTGCTAGTGCAAGAAGATGTTAGGAGGTTCTATATAAAGTCAGAAGTCAACAGCCTTGGCCTTGACCCAAAGGGAGTTACTGAATACTGGAGTTGAAAGAGGTTGCTCCCCTCCCATTTTGCAGGTGCCACTGACACATCACAGCCCTTACCTACCCAAGGGACACTAGGGTGTATGACCAATTTCTCTGTAGCAGTTCCTGAGCCAGAGCCCTTGATCGTCTGCCTGATGAGGGCTGAGCTGAGGTCAGAGCCCAGGTCTGCATCTCCCACTTGGGGTGTTTTCTGTTACATTCGTGTCACAAAGAACCATCCAGTCTGGACCCTGGCTAACATGAGTACAGAAGAGACCCAGGACTTCCTTCAGATCTGAGCTTGGGAGCAAATATCAATGGGGGGTGGGTGGGGTCCTACCATCAAAGGAGATGATGAGTTGAAGATTGGAATTGACTTCAGGGGACCCAGGGATTAACCCTTGAAGCGACTGATAACCTCAGTGTGTCCCAACATGTTCAGGTAGACAGGTCTGGAGTGGTCAAAGCTTAGGAAATAACCTCCACTTACAAACTTGGAACTTGGAACTATTACATTTACTTATTTACTTTTGGGGGGTTGCATGTGTGTGCCACAGAGTGCATGAGTCAGTTTCTCCTTCTATCATGTGAGTCCCAGGGATTAAACTCAGGTTGTTGGGCTTGGCAGCAAGCACCTTTGCCCACTGAACCATCTTGACAGACCAATTTTGGGATTCTTTCTACTTATTTTTTTAATGTCTATGAATGTTTTGCCTGCATGTATGTGAATGTATCATATGCGTGCAATGCCCACTGAGACCAGAAGAGGGCATCAGATCCCCTGCAACTGGAGTTATATGGATGGTTGTTAGCTACCATGTGAGTGCTGGGAATCAAACCCAGGTCTTCCCCAAGAGCAGCCAGTGTCTTAATCACTGAGCCATTTCTCCTGTCTGCAACCTTGGGACTCTTGGAGTGTTATGACTATAATAAAACTTAAGATCATTGATTCAGTCTCCTCATTTGACAGATGAAAAGGCTAAGCTTGTCCAGATAGTGTAGAATGGCAGGTGCCAGGGGCTAGGGTTTAGGTGGGTTTGAAATATGAGAAGGTTCTAGTGATGGATGGTGGGATGATGGTTACCCAACAGGGAGATTGAATTTAAGGCCACTAAATTGACCATCTGTATACTTGACAATGGTTAAAATGCTAAGTGTTACGTCCATTTTACAACAAAGAAAAGAAGGTGGTGAGGTTAGATTGTAAAGCCAAGATTGCAGGACCAGCACCTCCCACAGCCTGCCAGCTCCTTCTCAGGGATGCCTGCCTTCTTGGTGCCCCTACAACCTCTCCTGGGCCCCTCCCTGGGCTGCTCTATGGAAGCAGTCCTGCTCATGCTCTTCTGCTTATCTAGGGGAGTGGCTTTCCTTTGTAGCCCTCAAGGGAAAAGGGATTTAAAAGCCAAAACTACGCCCTATGAGCCATTTCCCCAAATAGCCAACATTAGAGTGCCACTGGTTGGAAGATGGTAAGGAATGAGAGAGGGGGAATATTAGTTACTGCCCTGCTCTGCACCCAGAGTCCACATCCCACTCTCACTGGGCATAACCCCCTGTCACATACACAGTATACACAGTGTTTCTAGGTTTTCTCTGCAAGGCAACCCTGAGCTATCAGCTCTAGGATGTCTGGGGAGTAAGAAGGACCCTACTCCCTCCAACAAGGGCTAAGACCTGTGTGGTACAATGACAGCATCTACAGAGTGACTCTCAAAGTGGTCCCCAGGTCAACAACATGGCAGTGTGTGGGAACTTGTTAGAAATGCAAATTCAGGGCCCACGTGGTGGTGCTCCTGCCTGCCGAGGCAGGCAGATCTCTGTGAGTTTGAGGCCGGCCTGGTTCACATAGTGAGTTCCAGTATAGCCAGGGCTACAACAGTGAAACTCTGTCTCAATGTATATTTAAATTCTCAAATCTACAGAATCAGAAATTTAGGACTGGGGTGTATACCAAATAATCTGAGTTTTAACAGATCTTGAGAATTATAGGTCTAGAATTTAACCCATCTTCTCTATTTCACAGAGAAGGTGATGGAAGACTTGGAAGGTTCCATGACTTGCCTGGGGCCACCAGGATGACACAAAGACGCCGCTCTTAATCTCTAAGGTAGATAGAGTTGGACTCTCCAGTGGAGCTGGTAATGACTGGAACTCAAACTGAGAAAGGGGGACATTGGAGATGCATGAGCACAATTGCTTTGACAACACAGAGGAAACAGGGAGGCTTTGAAGAATGACACTGCAGGCCAGCATCCCAGGGTTGGAGCTGTGTCCCCACTGTGGGACAAGGACCCAGGCCGATTCCGCATCTATCAATCAGGAATAATAATTGGGCTTGTATCAGCCCTAGGACAAGCTTAAGGGTTAAGTGAGGGCTCTGAGGTCTCATACACACATTGCCCATTAAGTGTCAATTATAGCTATGACAAAGAAGGAAAGAACTCTCCAAATCCAAAAGGAATTAGATCATACATTTGGGGGGAGAGAAAAGAGACATGCCTGCAATCCCAGTACTCGGTCAGGAGGATCAGGAGTACAAGGTCATTTTCGGCTATATAGCAAGTTTAATTTAAAGCCAGCCTAAGCTACCTAAGACCAGAGAGAAAGAGACAGAGACACACAGAGAAAGACAGGGAGAAACAGAGAGATACAGGGAGATTTGGGGATGATGAAGAATTTGGAGATGATTATACAGATGCATGAAAAATTTCAAATCTTAGTAAATTAGCTCTGGGTACAGTTTAAGGGGATATTAAGGAAGAGGGTGGGAAAAGCCCAAAATTGGCAGATTATCAGGGGATGAGAGATCTGGCTTCCTCCAGGCAGAAAGGGACTCTGATTTGGGCTGAGGAGTGGAGGAGAGAGATTACATAGAAGATAGTTTCTGTTAAGGATGTCCTTAGGAAATTATGCAAGGAAATCCCCCCAAATGGATGCCTGTTCTTTAGCAAATCAGTAAGAAGAGAAGGAATCAGTCAAGGTGAAACAAGATGGAGGTTGGGGAAGCACCCTGGCCTGGAACTCTGGAGAGCAATCTAGGCAAGACACTGAACTAACTCTCTAGGGCCCAAATTCCTCCTGTGTTTCTAAAACAACGCTGAATGCTCACCATATGGTAGGGGCAACACACTGATGTGATAGACATAGCATCGCCTCTATGATCCCATCTTATCCCTCTTTCTCATTCAGTCCCACCTCACTTAATCATTGAAGGAACTGAGTCTCCAAGAGCTAAGATATCTTAGCATAAAAGCCACACAGCTGATAAGTGGCAGCACCAGGAGAGGGGCTCCATGTCTCTGAGCAATGCCAGGGTCCTTAACTACCTCAACCCTCTACAAGACTGTATTCTGTGATGCCTGTGGTTCCAGCCTGAGGAGTGGTAACTTCCAACAGCTTGAGTCTGAGTAATTTAGACCTAGCCTAGGGACCCTCAAGAAAAAGCACTTAGCCCATGAGCTACCCTAAATCAGATAAAGGAAGTGAGAATATGCTACCCTCAAATGTGTCACTTTGGTGTAAAGACTATTTTGAGCTGGAGGCAAATGAAAATTAATAGATGCAAAAAGGATCTATTGATTAGTTCCTTATGGGACTAAAATTAGTAACTTCTCAGACATGAGGCCTGTCACAAATGCCCCCTCCCAGGAAGTTTGAGGACCATGAACACAGAAAGTTGGTGCCAAGAGGGACCTGCATAAACAAAACTCACTTCAGTAATTTCCCCCAGATAGCTACCTTCCTGTAGTCTGTTTTCTTTGGAAACCCAAAGCTCTGTTTCCTTTGTCTTGATGCTTCTTTTTTGTTTGTTTCTGAGGTAGGGTCTTATGTAGCCCAGGCTGGCCTTGAAATCACTGTCACTGAGGGTGATCTTGAATTCCTGATCCTCCTGCCTCTACTGCCCATGTGCTGTACCAACATGCCCTGTATCTTGTCTCTTCTTTATTACATTTATTATTCTTTGTTAAGAAGTTATATAGATTCATCTAACTTCTCTTTTGTATGAATAACTGAGGTTTCTTCTGGGCAACATGTACTATATATGTCAATCAACCCAGTTCCTTTATCTCTAGTTGGTCTGTCTTCACTGTCTAATTTGCAAGGCCTCAGGCAGGAACCCAGAGCTATAAAGCTAAAAAAAAAAGCCTTCCTCTCTTACACAGCTTCTTTGGGATCCACATTAACATGACTTAGCCGGTGTAAGAGGGTCTCTACTGGTAGCTTCAGGGAAGGCAGAGATGCTGAGGAGCTGGCTTCTACAGCAGGATCTCCATGGCCTCCATATTCTACCAGCTCCCTCCCCATAAACCAAAGGCAGTATAGCTCAGTGATCGGGAACATGGAGTCTGGCTCTTAGGAGGGCTGATGCTTAGTGGCTTGCTTGCTGTGTGATCTTGGACAAGTATCTTAAATGGTCTGTGCCTTAGTATTCTTTGTTTTGTTTTTGTTTTGAGACAGGGTTTCACTCTGTAGCTCTGGCTGAGTTCCAACTTGCTATGTAGACAGGCTGGCCTGGAACTCACAGAGATCCACCTGCCTCTGCCTCTCAAGTGCTGGGAAGGTGTGTGTCACCATGCCTGGCTTTGTGCCTCAATATTCTTAAGGGTGGTGTGAGGAAAAGAGCCAGAATCTACAATGAGTGGTAATGCTCTTTGGTGTTCTTTTTGGGCTTCTGCTTTTCCCCACCCACTCCCAAGGCCTCATCAGTGATTTGAGGGCATACCCTTCCCACCCAAACTAGAGAACCAGGGGCCCCTCACTCACTAGGGTCGACTTTCCGGATCTCACTGTACACCGTCTCTGTGCTTTTCGTTCCCAGAGCTGGAAAAGGGACCAGGCACAGGTCAGTAGCTGCTTCTGGACCCAGGGTCAGCACATTGCTCTACCCACCTTACCCCAGGGATTCCCATGTCTAGAATCACCAGAGACTCTGTCATGCCCCCAACATCAGAAGAGTCCCGGCCTGGCTGGAAGCTCTCTGAAAGAAGGAGGCAAACAGGTCACTGTGTGATAGGGTTGCCTGCAGGGAAGAATTTTGGACCTGAAGAGCCAAGGAGTGGGGCTCTGCAAAGGCCCAAAGCCCTGTGGTTGGTGGACCCATCCCTCCTTCCCACCACACGAGACCCTGAGCCAGCTGCTCTGCCAGGCCCTTCTTAGCATGGTGGAGCTATGGATAGCCTTGTAACCCCCAGAGTCCGGACCCTGGTACCTAGAATGAGATCCTGGGGTCTGGGCTGGAGTCTGGCATCATTCAGTGACCACTTGCAAATGAAGCTGGGTGGGCCAGCTGCATTTGGTGTAACACCCAGATTCACTGCAGATTCCAAGTGAAGTGTTCTGGGGCCTGTCCTGGTATTCAGAGAGTGTGTGTGTGTGTGTGTGTGTGTGTGTGTGTGTGTGTGTGTGTGTGTTTTGAGACAGTCTCCCTGTAGTCCCAGCTTGTCTGGAACTCACTATATAGACAGGTTGGCCTCAATCTCATCGAGATCTACCTGCCTCTGCCTCTGCTGGGATCAAAGGTGTACACAACCACATATTGTTTTTCTATTTTGTTTTTTTTATTGTTTTGTTTGTTCTAGGTTTTTGAGACAGTCTCACATAGCCCAGACTGGCCTTGAACTTGCTGCGTAGTCCAGGATGGCCTTCAACTCCTGACCCTCCTGCATCCACTTCCTAAGTACTGAAATTACAGGTATGTACTGTCCAATCCAGTGGCATTTGGTGGTGTTATTGTTGTTTTTAATTTTATGTGTATGAGTGTTTAACTTCATGTATGTAAATGTACCTGTACATGCAATGCCTCCAGAGGCCAGAAGAGAACATTGGATCCCCTGGAACTGGAGTTATGGACAGTTGTTAGCTGCCAGTGGGTGTTGGGAACAGAACCCAGGTCCTCTACAAGAGCAGCTCTTAACTACTGAGCCATCTTTCCAGTCCCTGTATTGGAGTTTTTAAGCGCTCTACAGGGGATTCTAACCTGCAGTCAGGGTCATGATTCTCTGGGCTAGACAGACCCAGGGTGTGGATTATACCCAGGTGTCACTCATGGGCTTAAGAGACAAAGGACATCTTATGGCTGGCTATCTGTTTTTTTGGTTTTTTTTTTTTTGTCTTTTTGAGACAGGGTCTCCCTGTAGCCCCAGCTGTCCTAGAACTCACTATGTAGACCAAGCTGGCCTTGAACTCACAGAGATCTGCCTGCCTCTGCCTCCTGAGTGTTGGGATTAAAGGTATGTGATCTGTCTATTTCTTTTTGAGGACCAATTATAAGATATGTATACACACACCTGCTGTCTACTTACATGGTGTGTGCTCTCACTGTACATATAGACACACACCTCAGGTGTACACATTTGTATCCACACACATGCACACTGGTGCATACACACACACCCACAAACCCCGAGGATGCAGGACGGAACCTGAAGACATCCTAGTCTTTTCTTACTTGCAGAAAGGATAGAAAGTCTCCTCCCAGAAAGAAGTATTATGTGTCTGGGCCAGCACCCTCCTCTTACAAAGGGAGAAAGGAGCCCCAGACAGGTTGAGACTTTCTGTCACCACAGCCAGTGTCGTTTCCTCCTCACAGATGGCTGGGGCACGACATGGACTCTACACCAGATACTCTCTATTCACCATGCCCTCCTGTTCCCCTTCCCTGAACACCTCTGTTGCTGACCCTGTCATTTCTCTTGACCTACAGCTCCAAAACCCTGAACAAGCATTACCCCTTTTCCCCAGACGCACCTCACACACTCACATTCTCACCCTTCTCTGTGCCCTGAGCAGTTACACAGGCTCTTGTGCCCCCACCGTACATTGGGAAACATTTACCTACAACACATTGACTTTCATTGTTCCCACAACTCTCTCCCCTGCTGAACCCTATGCTCCTCGAGGACAAAGGCTGAAGTCTTGACATCCCCCATTCTCAGGCTTTGCAGAGCTTTCTGGGGGTATCTGTCAGGGTTTGGGGTAATAGTGAAGTCACCAATCCATGCCCTACAGGCATCTCTGTCTCAGGCCCTTGAACTTCAAGAAAGTCTAGGTACAGTCATCCCCTCCCTGAAGTTTCCTAACTATATAATAAAGAACACACTGCTGGAGGAATTGAAGGGAGACATCAGCACTGAAGTCTGAGTTAGTCATCAGACTCTGGATGTTAGTGGCTCCCATATTAGGTCCTGTGTGCCAGGTTGAGACTAGGCATGGTTCTCATCTATTCAGTAGAACTTGGGGCATCTGTAGTGATGAGGGTAGAAGACTTCTTGCAGAAGGAATAAACCAATGTGACCCCACCACAGGGCAGGAGCTGGAGCACAATAGAGTGGATGATGTACTTGACCCCTCCCAATGTCAGGACATCTATCTGTCCAAAATAACTAAAGAGGGACAGCAGAGATGCCCACACAACACCACACACTCCAGTTCTGTGCTAGGGGCCCCCAACCTGCTGTGTGATCCATATACCCAAGGGTCCCTCTGTTCAATGATAGGCCTGGGCAAGTCACCCATTCAACATGACCATATATACCTCCTACGTATCCTGAACCACTGAAGAGGGAACGGTGGGTCTGGGCCTAGCTTTCAGAAGCTAGCTTTCAGACAGGTGTGAGAAGGGTGTTAATGAGCTGGAATGTGGCTCAGTGGTAGAGTAGAGTGCTTGTTCAGCCTCCACAAGGCCCTGGGCACAAGCTCCAGTATAAATAAACAAAAATGGGCCAGGCCTGGAGAGATGGCACATGGGGTAAGAACACTTGCTGTGCAAGCATGAGGACCCAAGTTCAAATCCCTAGCACCCATGTAAAAGACTGGGGTGTAGCTAAATGCACCTGTAACCCCAATACCCTGGAGGGCAGAGAGAGAGGTGAACTGTTAAGGTCTGCTGGCTGCCATCTTAGGTCCAGGTTCAGTGACAGACCATGTTTCAAAAGACTAAGTGGATAGTGATAGATAGAGCAGGACATCTGACATCCTCCTCTGGCCTCTGTACATGCTCAGGGGTGCACACACCCTGATACACACATACATACCACACACACACAAAGTGCTATAAAGTATACATGGGGCAGCTCTGCCCGCTCTTCCTCTGCCATACCCCAACAGTGGATTTAGGTCAGGAAGGAGATGGATGAGGGGAGGGCTGGACAGCCAAGCCCGGGGGGTCTGGACATCTTCTGAACCTTACTCTCCCCAGGCACATGGGGCTGGCCAGAATACCTCACCAGTCTCCTTGGGGACTCTCTAATACCCTGGACCTGAGTGGCTGCACCTGATTCCTCTGTTACTGAACATATCAGTCAGAGCAGCAGGGTGGCTTCCACATCTTGTACCCCTGCTTTACTGCTGCCCCTGGCTGTGCCTGGCCCAGTGAGGGGGGCAGGGTGCAGCTGCTTGCTGTTCCCCCTCCTCCTGTGTCCCTGTGGCAGCAGCTGCCTGCTAATGACTAAGCCAAGCCAGCAGGCTGTTTGTCTCTGCTGTTAGAGGTGTTTCCGGATGGGGCTTTATTTTGGCTTCTTTTTTTCTCTACACTGACAGAGAAAGAGATGGCTTCCACATCATGGGGCTTTCCCAGCAATTAGCCTTGAAGCAAACAGACAGCAAACTTGGATTTAATGAGTTCCTTCCCGCCCCTCCTCCACCCCCAGTGACCACTTGGTCAGCTGCCAGCCAGGGATAGAGCTGGGCATGTCCCCATCACCTCCTCCAACTGCAGAGGAGGGGAGGCCTTGAGAACAGGACACCAGGTTGGCTGACACGAGGTTACCTTGAACTCACAAAGCCCTTTCTTCATTCAGTAATACTCCACTCCCCTCCTGGGGCAACACCAGGAGCTCAGGCCTGACTACTTCCTTTCCCTTTAGTAACTAGGAATTTGGGACAAGAAAACTCAACTGGAATCCTCTACAGCTTCCCTCTGCCACCCAGACGACCACTATCCCAGCTCCCCGCGGAGCCCCGCTGTACACGAAACAACTTGCACAAATTGGGAAATGTCACCAATTGGTTTGGCTGCAACTTACAGCTGCAGAGCTTGGCAAAGGAAACACAAGGCAATCACTGCTGCCCCACCCTATTCTAGGAACCCCCTCATACCTCCTCCTTCCTTCAACCCCTCCCCACCCTCAAAAAAGCAAAAGAACCCCAGATACTGTGAACACGGACACGTGACGAACATAGTCGAGCAATTCAGAAAGGATGGAAAGTGGAGACTCTCCCCAGGGCAGAAGTGCTTCCTTCCTCCCTCTTCGGCTCCCTTAAATCCAATGCTTCTCAGGCAACACGCACAACCCTCGGGGTTCTCTACCCACACAGACCACTGAGCAGGGGAGCAGTCAGGGCCCAGTAGGAGGATCCAAAGCAGCCTTTATGCCAGAGCCCAGGGTGACAGGGAGCTTTGGGGTCTGCTGCACAGATAGGAAGCAGGAATTTGGTCCCCTGTTCTTTGGTATTACAGTTCACTGTCCGCAGCACCCAGCAGCAGGCAGAAGGTCAAGAATAGAAAGGGCAGTGGGATTTTCCACTTATATTTAAAACCTGTGGGCAGCCCTATGTCTTAGTTTTCCTGGTCTTATATTATCCTTCTCCTTTCCTGCAAAACCTGACATCTCCATTAGGGAGAAGAAAGCCATTATCTGTGGTTCACAGTGATGGAGTGATGTGCCTAGCCAGGCTGGACCAAGGAGGGCTAATGTAGAGCTCTCTACTGTCCCACCCATCACAGCCCACCCAAACTCACCTCAGCCTCTGAGCACTGGACCCCTTTGCCTACTCCTCCTGGGTGACTCACAGGGGCCTCAAACTTAACCTAGCCAAACTGGATGCTATCAGAAGCATCTACACAGTGACTCCAGCAAGAAATGTGGGCATTCTCTCTCCCCTGTCATTAAATAGTCACCATGTGCTGTGATATATCTCTAAAATATATCTAGAGTTCATCCATTATGGGTACTTTGCACCACCCCCGCCATCTCACACCAGTCTGTGCTACAATTCTTTTAAAAAAGATTGTGTGTGTGTGTGTGTGTGTGTGTGTGTGTGTGTGTGTGTGTAGGAACCCACTCCTGAGCTATCAACGTCTAGCCAGCCAGCTTGCTCCAGGATCCCTTGTTTCTGCAGAGCACTGGGCTTACAAGTGGGCCACCATGTCCACCCAGAATTATTTCCCCAGCCCCTGAGGAGCTTTTTAAAAGAAGGAATTGGGGGGCTGGAGAGATGGCTCAGTGGTTAAGAGCACTGGCTGCTCTTACGGAAGACCCGGGTTTCATTCCCAGCACCCACATGGTGGCTACGAACCATCCTTAACTCCAGTTCCAGGGGAATCCGAAGCCCTCTTCTGACGTCTGCAGCATTGCACGACACGGGTGCACTCACATACATGCAGGCAATACACTCATACACATAAAATAAAAATAATAAAAAAAATAAAAGAAGGAATTGGAAACCAGCCACTTCCCTACATCAAGCCTTCTGGAGGTTTCCTAATCCATTTAGAATAGAGTTCAAAGAAAACCCTGGGGGGCCTTGTATGCTCCAGGTCATTATCCTGGCTTCCTCCATCTTCTTCCTGCCTCTGCATCTTTTCAGATAGTTTTTTGAGACAGGGTCTCATGTAACCCAGGGTCTCATTGTAACCCTAACTTGCCTTAAACTCTTGATCCTCCTATGTTAAACTTTCAAATGCTGGGATTACCATGCCCAGCTTCCCCTTTCAGATCAAAGTAAATGGAGCTCTGACGGATCTCAAACCACCGTCCCATTTCCTAGGTCTTTCTAACCCTCTTTGGTGCTGCCGACTTCTCTGCCCCTTTCAGCCCCAACTTCATCAACAGCCCTCAAAGAGGCCTTCTTAAAACGGGCATGGTGGCACAGGCCTTTAATCCCAGCACTCGGGAGGCAGAGGCAGGTGGATCTCTGTGAAATTGAGGCCAGCCTGGTCTACATAGTGAGTTCCAGGCCAGCTGGGGCTATAGGGAGCCCCTGTCTCAAAAAGAGGCCTTCTTGAACCATTCAGAAAAAGCTAGAGAAGATGTCCCCTTCCATGCCTTCTCCTTGCACCCCATTCTGTGCCTTCCCAGCACTTACCTGATGCTATCTATTCTTTTCTTTTAGCCTCCAGCTCCCTCTCAAGCTATACTTCCATCAGAGAAGGACCACCTGCGCCTTGCTTCTTACACAGTGGCTGGTTCCCTTCAGGTCTTCACTATTTGTCCCCCAAAGAAGTGAACCACTGTACCATAAAGTGAAGAGAACTTCAGGCCTGCTAAGTTCCCCACCCCTCTGGTCCAGTCAGACCTGGATGCCAGATGCCCCATGTAGCTACACACATTGGAATGTCCAGCACACTTTGGGCGGCGATTCTGACTAGGAGCCCCAGAGAAAGGGGCTCAATGTTGCAGCACACAGCTCTGGAGCTGTAGGGGTCATGTCTCCTGATTGTGAAAGTCTCATGCACACATCTGCTGATGTGGCACTAAGAGCCAGGCTCAGCAAGAGAATTCCTCCTAAATTACGGAGCAAGAGGTGGCTTCGGGATGCCACCACGACGTGGCTCTGGCTGGTGATCAGCAAGCTCTTCCTGGAAAATTGCTTAGGCCAGGACACAGCTTGGCCTTAGCCTAGGTACATAGGGAGGTGAATGGCAGCAGTCCCAAGGAGTTTCTCAGTAGGGCTGGAAGGTTTGGGATGGCTGTTTCCTTAGAGCATTCAGGAACTGGAGGGTGAGCTGAGGGGAAGGGGGCTTGGGAGATGTGTATTGTTTTCTGGTGTCAGAGCTGCTGAGATTCACGTTCTGGCATGCGTCACTCTCCCAGCACTGACTCACAGATGGGAACTTACGGACAGCTTGCCCTTGCATGAACCACACACCCAACACAAAAGCTGAGGCCTACACCCAATGCCACGTGCACACTCAGAGAAACTGTGCTTTCAAGTCTTTCCCAAAAAGTCCCTCTAAAGAGGGCATTTACTGTCACCCTTTCCCAGTCTAGAATCACCATGGAAACACACCTCTAGGCATACCAGTAAGGGATTTTCTAGACTGCATTAATTGAAGTGACCACTCTAAATGTGGGTGGCGCCATGTCATAGGCTGGGGTTGGAGACTAGTAAAAAGGAGAAAGCTAGCTGAGACCCTGCATTCATTACTCCACCTTCTTCCTGACTGTGGACACATGTGCCGTCGTAGTTCCCACCAGTCTACCTTCCTTGCCTTGATGAACTGTAAGCCCCTCAATCTGTAAGGCAAAATAAACCCTTCCTCCTTTAAGTTGCTCTTGTCAGGTATTAGGTCACAGCAATGAACAAAGTAACTAACACACGTTCCCTATCTTAAATATGCATTTGATCGACACATAATCAGTCACACAGATTTTTTTGTCCTAGGAACACAGTGCATCTGGGCAGGGGCCAGACTCTAAAGAAAGCCCAAAACACCCAGGAGTGAGGCTACTCCTAGTGTCTTCCAGAGAAACAAGCTGCTCAACCCTGAGTCACTGTGTGGTACCCAATGAGTGCTCAGGACCCATTAATAGTAGTAACACAACTAATGATATTTTACAGCTCCAGGCTTAGGCACAGCCAATAGGTCTGCTGACCATTCTAACTGGACACAGAACGCTTACCTCTCATGTGGCATCTACATCCAAACCCAGAGAATAACATGTGCTTGGCCCCCGGCATGAGGGTTGCTTACCTTGGTGAGGCTCCACTGAGGACACTTCCACTTCTGTGTACTCCACATCTGTGTTCTGAGGGTCTGTTCAAAGCAACCACATCACCTTGAGATTAGACAGCATCACCTCTAGGGGTGTTGGACCACATTAGAAGTCTTCCTTTCAATTAGCCCTACACTGATCTGGGCAGCAGAGATGCCAGTGGTCTGTCTGACTTTTGCAACCTGAATGTGGATGACCCTCTTGCCTAGGTCCTAGTTTTTACAGTGTATGTGGGGGGACTTTTAACAGGTTAATAGACATAGGAAAACAGCCCAGGATGGGCCCCAGCAGTTAACTCCCATTCAGTCTCAAGGACATGGGAAAAGGATCACAGAAGGGTGGGACAGGGCTCACCAACCTCAACATGCTTAGAGACAAGGCACGCAAAGCAATGAAATCTCTAGGTTCTGTGGAGAAACCCAGGAAATTACTTTGTTCTGAACTTAGAACATTATTATTATTTTGTTGTTGTTTCTTTTTTTAATATTTTGTTATTTTTATTTTATGTGCATTGCCTGCATGTAGGTAAGTGCATCCGTGTCATGCAATGCCTGCAGAGGACAGAAGAGACTGTTGGATCCCCTGGAACTGGAGTTATGGACAGTTATTAGCTGCCATGTGGGTGCTGGGATTCGAACCCGGGTCTTCTGCAAGAACAGTCAGTGTTCTTACCACTGAGCCATCTCTCCAGCCCCTTTGTTGTTTCTTAAGATAGGGTCACATGCATCCCAGGTCAGCCTCAAACATCTGTGTAGCTGAGGTTTGCCTTAAATTCTTGGTCCTCCTGCCTCAGCCTCTTGAGTGTTGGGATTACAGATGTGAATCACCATGCCAGGCACTGTTTCAATTTAAGGCCCCACAGAATCAGGGGTTCTTACCAGCAATTAAAACAGATTGTGTGGTCAAAGAGACTTTGTAGAAGTAGGTTGGGAGTTTTAGCTCCAATGATAGCAATATGAAGTAGAAAGTGTCTTTAAAGAACAAGGTAGCTCAGCCCTGTCAAGCTTTAAGCAGAAGCAAACTGCCTATTGTTGTCTTTAAAAACATTAAAAAGATGCACGCCTTTAATCCCAGCACTGGGGAGGCAGAGGTAAGCAGATATCTGAATTTCAGGCCAGCCTAGTCTACATAGCCAGTTCCAGGCCAGCTAGGGCCACCTAGTGAGACCCTGTCTCAAACATACAACAAATCTCTACCTCAGTTACACAAGAGAAACACCCTTCTACTTCACTCAGCACATTTGGAATCACGAAGCTGCTTTTAAGCAACTACTTTTCTACTTGGATTTAGGCTGTATTACCATTCAGGACACTAGATAGTATCTTCATCTTTGGAGAAAATACCCAGCCATCTGTATTTTACAATCAAGCAGTTACAGGGCTACTAAGAGGGCTGGGAAATTATCCAGCAACCTTAGAGTTTTAATTGCCTTTTCCTGTGAATATTTTTTAATGTCAATATTTCTAATAAAACACTTAAAAATTATAATTACCTTTATTTTGATTTGGGGTTTTCATTGCATGGTTTCCAACATCATCATTATAACCTGGTTGAAAAACAATTAGGATGAGAGACAGTAGGAAGTCTAGTTTCCTGTAGCTCTGTGTGTGTGTGTGTGTGTGTGTGTGTGTGTGTGTGTGTGTGTGTGTGTATGCGTGCACTCATGTGTTCTCACTCATGCATGTGCATATGTGTGTAGAGGCCAGAGCTTGGCACTGAGTATCTTTATCACTTTCCACATTATTTTCTGAGACAGAGTCTCTCACTGAGTCTGGAGCTCACTGTTTTAACTAGACTGGCTAGTGAACAAGGCCCCAGGATTCACCCATCTCTAGTCTCCTTCCCCCAGCATCGAGGTTACGGGTGCATGATCCCGCACCTGGCTTTTATATGGGTACCAGGGACCAAATTCAGGACCTCATCCTCACACAGCAAGCACTTTACCCACTGAATCATCTCCCTAGCCCTTCTAAACTTCTAAAAACTTCAGTACTGCTAAGAAAGTAAAGTATGATTTATTCAGCATAGGCAACAAACAGCTGTGCCTCTGGGTCCTGGGTCCCCTCCCTGTGGTGTGACCTTTTCCTAACCATAGGGGAACCTTTATCAGTGCATGGGTAGAATGCACGGCCAGCATAGGGGCATTTTTGTCTGTGAATTATCTGGAATTCGGACTGAGTCAATGTGACTTAAAATTCTTTCGAGAAGGGACCAATCACTAACAACAAATATGAAAGCTACCGGTGAACTAACCCTCTCTGGCTGGGGAACTGGACTGATGAGAACATGGTTTAAAGACTCAACAGTGTCTCTCTAAATTTATCATCTCAGTGGGTAAAACAAAACAAAGTGTGGGGCTGGCTCATTGGCAAATGAACTTGCCTAACATGTGAGGAGCCTGGGTTCAATCCCCAGCACTGAAAAAAAATTTTTTTAGCATGCACTTTGTTAAAAGAATTCTTACAGATATCATAAATACTGTTCTTCATGAACACATGGTTTTTCATCATGATTTGAGCTAATTAGGATTATCATTATTACAGTTTTTTTTTTTTGGTCTTTTTGAGACAGGGTCTCCCTGTAGCCCCAGCTGGCCTGGATTTGCTATGGAGACCAGGCTGGCCTCGAACTCACAGAGATCCGCCTGCCTCTGCCTCCCAAGTGCTGGGATTAAAGCCGTGTGCCACCACGCCTGGCTATAAAATTTTTTTTTGAGATAGGGTCTCACTATTCATGTAGCCCTGGTTGGCCTAGAACTCCAATATGTAGAGCAGATGCCTCAAACTCACAAAAATCCATCTGCCTCTGCCCCCTGAGTGCTGGGGTGACAGGCATGAGCTACCTACCTGGCTTTGAGTGTCTTTATCACAGACCCACAGATAGTGAGACATGCCTGGGGTGCCCCACTCCACTGAGGCTGAGTTGGAATGAGTCTCATAGGAAAGTTTCCTTCATCTGGGCACTTCTCAAAAGTACCTCTGCTAAGAGTAGAATCTTTCCATTGGTTTCCCTTTGTGGCAAAGGAAAGTGGATGGGTCTCATATCTAGTCTCTGCTTTGCAAATGCAATCTGATTACCCTGGGGGAATATTCAGTGTTTGGGGGTAACAAGCTTTAGGATTATTCCCCATTCTTCACACCAAATAAATGAAGTTTAGAAGGATGGAAATAGAAAAGTGCACTGCCTTTCCTTTTCTTCTTCTTCTTCTTCTTCTTCTTCTTCTTCTTCTTCTTCTTCTTCTTCTTCTTCTTCTTCTTCTTCCTCTTCTTCTATTATTATTATTATTATTACTATTATTATTATTATTGGTTCGCCCTGCAGTGGCTGATTACACAGCACCACTGCTTGAAGCCAGGGAGACCCTCTACCTTTAACCTTGCCCACTTAGAGGGAAGCCTTGACTTTACCGTAATGACTGTTGGCTTCCACATTGGGCTCCGACACCTTCTCATTGTTGGAGTTCAGAAGTGGAGCTGCTGGCCTTCAAATGGAAAGAAAAAAAAATACATGTTAAACACTTTTTTCTTTTTGCTTTTTTTTTGAAACAAAGTCTCACAATATAGCTCTGACTGCCCTGGAACTCACTATGTAGAACAGGCTGGCCTCAAACTCACAGAGATCTGTTTGCTTCTGCCTCCCGAGTGCTGGGATTAAAGGTGTGTTACCACCACACCAAGTTTAAACTTAATCACTTTTTTTTGGTGTTTTTGAGATAGGGTCCCCCTGTAGCCCCAGCTGGCCTGGAACTCACTATGTAGAACAAGTTGACCTTGAACTCACAAAGATCCACCTGCCTCTGCCTCCCAAGTGCTGGGATTAAAGGTGTGCGCCACCATACCTGGTTTAGCTTAATCACTTTTTAAAGATTTATTTTTATTTATTTATTTGTGTGTGTGTGTGTGTGTGTGTGTGTGTGTGTGTGTGTGTGTGCGCTTTGGTGCTCACAGAGGCCAAAAGAGGGTGTCAGATCCCCTGGAGCTGGATTTACAGGTAGTTGTGAACTGCCTTGCATTGGGTGCTGGGAACTGAACTCAGGTCATTTGGAAGAGCAGTGAGTGCTCTTAACCACTGAGCCACTGAGTCACTGTAACACCAAATCAACAAAATCATTAAAGGCAGATCATGAGAAAGTAAGAAGAAATGGGCACTGTGGCCCATGTCTGTAATCCTAGCACAAGGTAGGCAGAGGCAGGAGGATGAGTGTGAGTTTGAGATCAGCCAGGGCTATACAGCAAGACTTCATCTCAAAAAACAACAGAAAATCCAGGCATGGTAGCACATGCCTGTAATCCCAACCAACACTTGGGAGGTGCGACAAGACGATAAAAAATTTGAAGCTATCCTTAGCTCCATGAGACTGGCTCAATAAAACAAAAAGTAAAGGGTATACAAACATTTTTAAAGGCCAACTCTATGATTCCAAATATGTAAAAAAAATTAAATTTCTTAGCGGGCATGGTGGCACACACCTTTAATCCCAGCACTCAAGAGGCAGAGGCAGGTGGATCTCTGTGAGTTCGAGGCTAGCCTGGTCCACATAGAAGTTTCCAGGCCAGCTGGGACTACAGGGAGACCCCGTCTCAAAAAGACCAAAAAGTAAATAAATAAATAAATTTCTCTCTAGTACCATTATAATTTGATAAGGAAAAGAGAATTTCATACATAATAGTTCAGAAAGCACAGTCTCAGAAGAAAAGTCAATCCTGTCCATAAAAGTATAGCTGACAATCTTTCAGAAAGACACACGCATACATGTACACATGTGTACATACACTGTACCTAAGGTCCTAATTCTTTCTGAGTTTGCCAAGAACCTCTGACAGCCTCCTAACGACTAGGCTGTCCTTGTAGATGAGTCCAGCCCTGCCCACCAAACAGCTCCTTCCTCTTACATGAACACTCACCTGGACATCTCCACTGGTATCTGCTTGGCTTTAAAAGAGAAAGAAAAAACCCAGGTCAGTATGAGTATGTCAGACAGAAACAGTTTCTTTAACTATCCTTGATTGTCCTAAAGAGTATCCATAAAAATAAAAAAGAGGGGCTGAGGATGTAGCTAACTTGGTAGAGTGCTTGCCTAGCATGCACAAAGCTGTGGGTTCAGTCTTCAGTACTGTGTAAACCAAATGCCTGTGGTCCCAGAACTCCAGAGGTGGAGGCAGAGGGATCAGATGTTCAGAGTCAGCCTCAGCTACATAGGGAGTCTGAAACCTGCCTGGGATACATGAAATCATGTGGAGAGAGGGTGGGTGGGGTTGGGGAGGGGAGAACACCAGACATTAACCAGGCTTGGAAGATAAAAAGAGAGAGAAACAAAGAGGTGTTCTTGGTTTTTTGTTTGTTTGTTTTATGCTGCTGACCACCAGCTTTATCGATGAGCTACATTCCCAGCCTTTTTCTTGGTCATATTGCAAGATATTTTACAGGGTTTCCTCCAATATGTAACATTTTAGCCAGAAGCAGTTTTAGTTCATAGGATATGGTCAAGGCCAGGTACAGGAATCAGATTCCTCAGATAAGCAGGCAGCTATCTCTTTGATTTCAAGACAATTCTGAAAAGCAAAGTCTAAGTCAATCTGCGCACAATCAGTTCCAAGCTGGCCTGAGACCAAAGCCAGGGTCTGCCTTGGGGGGAAGAGGCCTCTTTGAAAGTCTGTCTCTTCCCAAGGGGATGGCAATTTTCCTACCTAAGAAAAGACCCAAGACCCCTTCCCAACCCATCTGCCCCTCCTAGCCCAGGCAGTAGTACCAGAGGCTCCCAAAGAACCCATCTCTCCATTTTCCCCCCATTATGTACTGGCATTTTGTGGGTTCTTTTCATTGAGTCTGGGCTAGCTGATCCCCGAGTGCCAGCTGGTGTTCCTGGCTTCCATACTCATGCATGGCAGAAATCACTGGCACAACTGCAAGATTAACCAGAAGGCACACTGTGCGTGTGTGTGTGTGTGTGTGTGCGTGTGTGTGTGTCCATCCATGACACATTCTACAATTCCAGGACAAGATGTAGCCAAACACTAGAGAAACAGCATCTTCTGATGACATGAAGATGCTGTTTTACCCATCTCTCCCCAGTTGGCTTGCCCACTAGGCAAGCGCCCACTTTCAGTTTTGCTCAGTTTAACTGGCTAAAGCCAGAACCTTCAGTTACCAAGGTGACACCCAAGGAGGAAAAGCAGTGATACCTCTGTAGCTCCCACCAGACGCTTCGTAGCCACAGCCAGTTTTCCTGGCAAGAACTACTTGGAGAGAGGTACTCACCCTTGGCTTTCCTCAGAAAGTAGCACTTGGCCCCAACTATCAGGGTAGCTATTATCACTCCGATGACAATCACTGCAATAAGTCCTTTCTTCCATGGAGCAAGAAAGACTGGGAATGGGGGAGAAAAAAGGAAACATGATATCAGATTTAAACAGCAATTAATCCGTTTCCGCAATCCTTGTAACTGGCATCTCACTTTAGCATCTGCTTCTGAGGGCTTTCTCACTCCACTGGTACAGAAATGCCCGTTTCTTCTATCAGCCAAGGTCAGCTATGGTCTTCAAGGATGGACCAAGCCAATTTTGCCAGGGTTAGGCTCTATTTGGGCTATCCTTTAAGCCTTCTTCTGTCTCTATAACCTCCCTCTCATTCACATAGGCTTCATGCCTATGACTGGATCCCCTTGGACACAAGAGGTCCATAGATGGATGTTTGACCCAAGGCGAGCTGACTGGTGTCTCTCTGCCAGGAATTTGGAACTGGAACTGGACAGAATATTTTCAGTTCTTTATAATAATCCCCTCCTTTTTTCCATTTAAGTTTAAGTGAATGGGTTTCTGTTAATTGCAAATAAATAGACACTGGTTTCTTAGCCTTCACTCACATGAACTAACCTTCCATCCTCTCCCTTTATGAGGACAGGATGTGCTTTCCTCTCCCTTGAAGTGTCCACATTGCACCTCACTGGTGAGGCTGGGACTCACCTCTGACTGTCAGAGTACTGCTCCGGGGACTGCTCCTAGTAAGAATGGCTTGGTTGGAGGCTGTGCAATAGTACTGTCCCTCCTGATCCTTGCTTGTCTGTTGCTTGTGCCAAAATGCTTGGGTGGAATTCATGACGGTTTGGTAGAAGGGTTTGTCTTCCTTTTCTTTGTAAAACATATATGTGATTGGAAAGGTTCCTTCTTTCACAGAACAGAGAAGCACCATTTCATCCCCAGACCTCACCTCATTACTCGACAAGATAGAAATTGTAACCTCGTCCACCGGGGCTGGAAAACAGGCCGAGGGTTAGTATTGAGCAAAGAAGTAGGGGACAGAGCCAGGTGTGCAGTGCACACCTGTAATGCCAGCACTTGGGAGATGGATGCAGGAGGATCTTGAGTTCGAGACCAACATGGGCTACACGGAGACAGAGAGAGACCATGTCACAAAGAACCAAGAAGGGCTGGACAGAAAAGAAAACATAGGATGGGTACTACTTCCTGCCTGCCTTTCTCTCAGCCTGCAGCTTGAACTTGAACTTGAGCTGTGTCCTTCACTTAAGTCAATCCTCTCATCTTACCTGCCTCATGGTCCCTTCCCTGATCAGTACTGAAGGACAGTCATGAATGCTTCCTGTTTTCATCCATTGATAAAACACAAGGGAACGTGCCCTCCTTCCTACCTTGAGTATTACTGACCATAGGTCTACAAGATTAACTTATGCTTTCTGGCATGCGTGTGTGTGTGCGTGCGTGCGTGTGTGTGGTGTGTGAGACATATTTCTCTCTGCCTTTCTATTTACAAAGGTGTGTGGCACTTCTAGGCTTGCTAACTCACCCTCCTCCCGTCTTCTCTAGCCAGGATCCTCTTCTCTTTTATCCTGTTCTTATTTCCCACTTTCTTGTTACCCCTGAAATTCGGTTTCCATTCATCTAGTTTTCTGTAGTTTTTGTTTATTGTTGCTACTGTTTTTGTTGTTTTGTTTTGTTTTCAGACAGGGGCTCACATAGTCCAGGCTGAACTCTGGATCCTTCCTGTCTCAGCCTCTTAAGTGCTAAGATTTCAGAGCATGGGTCCATCCCCAACCATTCATCTGGGTTTTTTTTTTTTTTTGGTCATCTTTGAGACAGGGTCTCCCTGCAGCCCCAGCTGTCCTGGAACTCGCTATGTAGAGCAGGCTGGCCTTGAACTCACAGAGATCTGCCTGCCTCTGCCTCCTGAGTGCTGTGACTAAAGGCATGCCATTCATCTGCTTTTGAAATTGCATTTTATCTCTGTTTCAAAGAAACTGGAAATGTCACCTGATCCTCAGACCATGGTCTTGCAGAGTAACTCAATGGTAATGGTCATTAGTTCTTCATTTAGCCTTCCTACGGCTGGGCTGATACCTGGCCCCTCCTAGGGGCCTGAACTTGGCTTTCTCCAGGCTTCGGTGCTACCTCTGAAACTGATTCTCCTTCTCCCGTAACTGTTGCCTTCTCTTTATTTACTATTTATTTTCACAGTGATGTGTAGACTTCCTGCAAAGTTAGTTCTCAGTTTTCCGACTTCATTTATTGCATTTTAATTTACTTATTTTGTTGTGCATGTGTGTGCATTCGTGTGTGCATGCACATGCAACAGCGTGCCAGTGGAAGTCAGAGAACACCTTGCAGGAGTCAGTTGTCTCCTTCTACTATGTGGGTCCTGGGGAATGAACTCAGGTCATCAGGCTGGGTAGAAAGCACCTTTATCTGCTTAACTGTCTCGCCAGCCCCTCCATCTCCATTCTTTTGGGGGATTTCACACACTCAGCTTCTATTTATGAGCTGAATAGAAACCTAAACAGATGCTTCCTGTCCAGATGACTTCCTGGAACTTCACATCTCTCTTTCCACCTGGAGGCTTGGATAACCGAATTCCCCACAGGTCCAAGCAGAACTCCCTCCTGTGCCCTCTGTCCTCAGCAACATCTTCAACCATTAAGTTCAGCGACAGTATACTGGTCAAAAGATTGGCATTCTGGTTTGAGTCACCTCTCTTGTGAGCACAGAGGGTGTCAAGATCATGGGGCTGCTGGCCACAGAGGAAGCCAAGCACCAGGCCTGGGATAGTGGGCTTCCCCAGATGGGTAGACAGCCTGAGCACACGGCCCGACCTGACAGCCTATCCCACTGAGGAGCACTAGGGTTTGGGGATCAACTGGACTCAGGAGGCAGACTGCTTGTGTTCATATCCTATCCCTATCATCCACCAAGGATTTGCTCTAGTCTTTAGCTGCCTCATCACGAAATGAGGATATGAACCGTTGAGTCTTGTATGGCTATTGAAAGTCTTATTTGGAATTATTACAATGCTTCACCTAGGGATGGGCACATGAAGAAAGCTCTGTAAATGCTGGTCACTAATGCCCGTGACTTCCTTGTGGACTCCTGCATTTGTTTCTTAATGGACCCCAGGATCTGAAGTCTCCATTCCTTTTCAGTGACAGCTGCCAGGTTCATCTTCCAAAAGAAAAACCCATCCCTAAGCTGTTCCTCCCTCTTCTGGCTCATAGGACCATTCCCAACCCCCAAGACTAACATTTGATGTCCTTCCCTGTTGGACTCAAGTCACTTTTTCAGCTTAACTCCAATGGTTCCCTATTCCCAACTTTTGCTTCTATCCATCTGAGTTTGTACCAGATGGGTTCAGGGGATTGAACTCAGGTCATCAGGCTTGGTGGCAATCACCTTTACTCACTGAGCCATCTTGCTTATTTGGTTCATGTGGCTGCTAGAAATGGTAGGCCATTAGTGATACTTAACACTGTCAGCTTGATGGAGTCTAGAATTACCTAAGAGATGGGCCTCTGGGCATTCCTGTGGGGAATTATCTGATGACATTAACTGATGTGGATAGGCCCATCTTAACTATGGATGGGATGATACAGTGGGCTTGGAGTCCTGAACTGAATAAAATGCACTAGCATGCACAGGGTCATTTCTATCTTCTGACTGAGGATGCAATGTCACCAGCTGCTTCTGGCTCCTGCTGCCTTGACTTCCCCACCATGAAGGACTGTGCCCTGAAATGTGAGTTAAACAAACCCTTTCTTCCTTAAGTTGCTTTTGTCAGAGTATTTTATCATAGTAAGAGAAAAGAAACTAAGACCATCTTTAGCTATCTCTGCAAACCCATGGTCAAGCTCTGGCTCCTGGGCCAGCTCTTCCACAAAGATTTCCTCCACAAGTAGGTAATATCTCCCATACTCTGGATTGTTATCACTGTGGGTTTTTGTTTGTTTATTTGATTGGTTGGTTGTTTTCTTTGGGGGGACAGGGTCTCACTATGCATTTCTGGCTGGTCTGGAACTTGCTATGAAGACCAGGTTGGCCTTGAACTCATAGAGATCATCCAGCCTTTGCTTTCCAAGTCCTGGGATTAAAGGCCTGTGCCCATGGGGTATTACAACTATTATTGTGAGGGTATTCTTTATGTGATAAGTAATCAAGTGTTACCTCCAACATTATTTTCTTTTTTGTGGTACTACTCAACTATTTCCTCATTATTGATCAGGAGAGCCTGTGCTTCTTATAGCATCAAAAACAAAGAACATTTCTTCTTTCTTCTCTTCCTCCTCCTCAGTCTTCTTCTCCTATATTTCCTCCTCTCTCTCTCTCTCTCCCACCCTCTCTCTCCCTCTCCCCCTTTCTCTTGTCTTTTTTGAAACAAGGCCTCATGTAACCCAGACCGTCTGTGATCTCACTATGTAGCTGAGGATGACCTTGAACTCCAGATCCTTCTGCTTCTACCTCCCAAGCTCTGGGATTACAGTCCTATGCCATTGTGTTCAGCTAGATGCTTGGTTTGTGATGTACTAGTGGAAATCAGATTCCTTCTTCCCTGCTGGATCTTCCCATCCCATGGACAACTCATGTCCACAGCAGCATATATAGATACTATGCAGCTAATAAATGCATATCTGCAGTTTATAAATAGCATGTTCATGATAATACATGGTCATTAAAGAGACAAGGATGAAGAAGAAGCCTTATTAAGCTTCTTACATAGGATGCAGGAGCAGGGGCCAAGTGATGGTACTCCTAAGGCCTTCCAGGAGGCACAAGACAGAGGCTCAAAAAAAACATTCACTCCAGACCATGGTGAGAGCCAGACAAATACTAGCAACAGCCCCATGAATCCATGACCTGTGGCTCTGCCTCCTGCATGTTCCACGTGGGACACAGAAATTCCACTAAGCCAACAGTACAGAAGACCTCTGGCCTGCTGGTCTCAGGGATGGCTCTCAGTTTATCTGCAAAGGCACAAAAGCCCAAGGAAATCCAAACAGGCAACACCAGTCGTTCCTGAAGTCAGGCCACTTTCCCTTTTTATGCTGTTATAGAGTTCACTTGAAAAGTAAAGAGATTTTGCTAGCCACATCAAAAGCCCCCAGATATTTTCCAGACCCATTTACTGGGCCTTGGTCCTGCTTTGATGCATATCTGGCATGTGGGCCTTGCACAGGTAGCATTGACTTCTGTTGCCCCCACAATCCCTATTGACTCCAAACCTTCCAAACTGTTCATCAAAGCCCCCTCTTTCCTCTCACAGCACAGCCACTTACCTATCACCTTGACCCTCAGGACCTCACTGACCATCTCAGAGTGAGAATGGCAATTGTCTGCCATGCACTGGTACTCCACATCTTTGATTGGCCTGTCTGTGAATATTGCGTGATCGTTTGAGGTCATTGTATAACTCCGGAAAATGTTCATTGCTTTTAAAAGGTGATATGTGATAGGTGCAGTTCCATTTATTGACTGGCAGCTGATGCTTATGGTATGTCCTTTTATGATCTCAGACTTGGCATCATGAAAAATCTTGGGCGTAGAGAGCATTTCTAGAACAACAGAGAAAAATGATCCAGATGGCACAAAAACAATGTACCCAGCCCGCAACCTTCCTCCTGCAAGCCCTGGGCAGCTGGCTTTATCACTGTCATGATTTTCTTTTCTTTTTCCTTTTTTGGCCTTTTTGAGACACGGTCTCCCTGTAGTCTCAGCTAACCTGGAACTCACTATGTAGACCAGGCTGGCCTTGAACTCACAGAGATCCACCTGCCTCTGCCTCCCAAGTGTTGGGATTAAGGGAGTGTGCCACCAGACCCAGCAGTGTCATGATTTTCTCTCTCTCCTCTCTCTCTCTGTGTGTATTTAGTAATAAGGGAGAAAATGAAGTGTTGTAAATGGATAGGGATATAATCCAGTAGTAGGGCATTTGCTTAGCATGTATGAGGCCCCAAGTTCAATCCCCAGCACCATAAAAAAAACTACTATAGGCAAAATACTTTTATTTTTATTTTTTTAAATATATAATTTTTTTCAATGTGTATGAATGTATTGACTATATGTACGTGAGTGTATCCATATCATGCAATGCCCGCGGAGGTCAGAAGAGGGTGTCGGATTCCCCTGGAACTGGAATTATGGATGGTTGTTAGCCACCATGTGGGTGCTGGGATCCAAACCCGGGTCCTCGGCAAGAGCAGGCAGTGCGCTTAACTGCTGAGCCATCTCTCCAGCCTCTGCTATAGGCAAAATAAAGAATGATTTATTAGCTGGGCATAGTGGAGCACCTGGAAGGTAAGTCAGGATGATATTAGGTTTGAAGCTGACTTGGGCTATATAGCAAAACTCTGTCCTGTTGAAGAAGGAGAGGGGCAAGTATGGTGGTGCGTGCCACTTGTAATTCCACCAGCTCGGTGTGGAGTGCTGGGATCCAAACCAGGTCCTCTGAAAGAGCAGGCAGTTCTCTTAACCCTTCAGCCATCTCTCCAGCCCCACTGTGTTTGTTTTTTGAGACAGGGTCTTGCTTTGTAACTTAGATTGGCCTTGAGCTTGCAGCAATCCTCCTATCTCACTGCTGGGATTATGGGTATGCACCACCATGCCCAGTTGGAACCTTTTGTAAGCAAGGTATTTTGTCAGGGGCTAGAGAGATGGCTCAGTGGTTAAGAGCACTGGCTGTTCTTCTAGAGGACTCAGGTTCAGTTCTCAGCACCCTCAAGCTGGCTAACAACCATCTGTAACTCCAGTTCCAGGGGAGTCAACATCTTCTGGCTTCCACAGGCATTGCATGTCATGGGTATACTTACATACACACAGACAAAACACTTAGAAAATAAAAATAAAAATTTTTACAAATCGGTCTTTTGTGTTGGAGGGGGTTGAGGGGTTGAGAGAAAACTTTGTTATGTAGCCCAGACTGGCCTTGAACACACAGCAATCCCCTGTCTCAGCCTCCCAGGTTCCAGGACTATAGGTTTACACCATCATACCTAACCCGGCCTTGTATGTATACATAAGTTTGAGAAGCCTGTCCCACTGGACAGTCAGGTGTGGATGACAACTGCAACTGCAACCTATAACTTCCGAATGTGTGACTGCTTCCTCCCTGACCTGAGTGGATTCCTGCTCTAGCAACCAGAGTCTTCACAATTATTTATTTATTTATTTTTGGTTTTTTTGTTTGTATTTTTTGAGACAGGGTCTCCTTGTAGCCCCAGCTGTCCTGGAACTCACTATGTAGACCAGGTTTTTTAAAGAAATGTTTTATGCCGGGCATGGTAGCCCATGTCTTTAATCCCAGCACTCGGGAGGCAGAGGCAGGCAGATCTCTGTGAGTTTGAGGCCAGCCTGGTCTCCATAGTGAATCCAGGTCAGCTAGGGCTACAGGGAGACCCTGTCTCAAAAAGACCAAAAAAAAAAAAAAAGTTTTATTTGGGGCTGGAGAGACGGCTCAGTGGTTAAGAGCACTGACTGCTCTTGCAGAGGACCCAGGTTCTATTCCCAGCACCCACATGGTGGCTGTGAACATCCTTAACTCCAGTTCCAGGGGAATCCAAAGCCCTCTTCTGACCTCTGAGTCATTGCACGATACGAGTGCATTCACACACATGCAGGCAATACACTCATACACATAAAATAAAAATAATAAATAAACTCTTGCCAGGCACACACCTGGTGGCAGTGGTGGCGCACGCCTTTCATCCCAGCACTCGGGAGGCAGAGGCAGGCAGATCTCTGTGAGTTCAAGGCCAGCCTGGTCTACAAAGTGAGTTCCAGGCCAGCTGGGGCTATAGGGAGACCCTGTCTCAAATTTTTTTTAAATGTTTTATTATTTTTATTTTATGTATGTATGAGTGTACTGCCTGTATGTGTGTGAGTGGGCCTGTGTCATGCATCAGATTCCCCGGAACTAGAGTTACAGACAGTATATCTATTTTTTTTAATGTATATGAGTATATTGCCTGCATGTGTCTGTAAGTGCATCTATGTTGTACAATGCCTGCAGAGGTCAGAAGATGGTGTCAGATCCTCTTGAGAGTCTTCCCAGTTCGAAGGCCCTACGAGCAGCACTCACAAAAGAGCCCTTGACTTGATCTTGACCGAACACTGCTCTGTTGCCTCTCCTCTGTTCTTCAAGCAGGGGTAGCTACTTGTGTGTCTAGACTCTTGATTTCCTACCTCTCTTTCTCCCTGAAGTTCTTTTTGTTAATTTTATTTATTTATTATTTTTATTTTATGTGTATGAGTGTATTGCCTGCATGTATGTGAGTGCACCCGTGTCGTG